CTGTTTTGATTCACTCTTACTGCTCTCAAAAAATCTTTGTACACTACCTGCTTAGCACCAGACAGACACAGTTAGCAACTATCTGGTGAACATAGTGGAGGATTTAGCAGCCGATGAGACAAATACTTCCCTCTGGAGTCAGCGGAAAGCAAAAGCCGGATGTGTAAATAAGCAGCTGTTTGCTAACAACTTCGCCATATAAACTTTTTATGTCAGCATTGTGTTAGCTGTGGCTTGTTTCCATCACCCCCAAGTGGCAAGAAAATAAATAAAAATACACTACTGTAGGTTTAAAGATAAATAAAGCACAGCAAAATATCTGGTCATAACAATACTACTCTCCTTCTTCTCATCTCCTGAGAAATTATTGAGAACAAGCCATCTGCACACATCTGAAAGAGGACTGGCTCCGTCCCCAGTTGTGTGTCGAACATGAAAGAGCAGAGGTATGCAGCCAATGTGAGAGACACAACAGAACGAGAGTGCACAAAAACCGGAGGCAGTGCAGGAGCGGGAGGGGAAACAGTGACACAGACAGAGAGAGACAGAGACATGGAGGGCAGAGGAGGTTTGCGTGAGGAAGTTTGGTAGCTTTGCTTTGTGGATACAGTTGCCTCCATCTCCCTCTCTCAGACTTTGATGAGGCAGTTCCTGCATTAATTAGTAACCAAATTCACCCCGTAATCAGTGACTCTGATTCACGCTATCCTTATTTACACTTACACACACCCCTTCCTCCTCCCCTTTATTACTTTATTTATTACACAGTGGGCCCAGCATGTCATTTATATATTGAACTGTGTTCTTTTAAACAGCTCTTAGCTTGTGTTATGATCATCACAAAGTGAAAATGGCAGTTTTTGAAAGCTGATGGTCCTGGAACTCTCTTTACTTTAACACATATTTTTCTAGTCAAATGGGCAATACATTTAAAGGGCCAGTTGACCCACCCAAAACATATACTCCCACTTATCCCTTGTGACAATCTAGGCAGCAATGCACATATTTTGGGTTTAATTTATTTGAGATTAGGAGATATCTTCCACTGAGACTTCTGCTGCCACGCCAATACAGTGGAAGTGACTGGAT